ATTATATACAAATTTAGTTCACTCCAAACCAGAAGATCAGGGTAGAATTTAGAGCAATTAATCTAGTAGTAGCAAAGTGGTTTCTGTGGTTGTTTTTATCTCCTATCTCCAGACCAGCATACTTAAATTCAGCATTGCACAAAAAAAAGGCAGACCAAGAAAAAGTGTACACAGGTGATTTGAATTAAATATGTAGTAAAGAAAAGATAATTTAGTAATTAGAGCATGGCCTCAGGTAATTTGTGTGCCTAATATTTATGATATAAAATATTTTTTATATCAATGCTACATTTCCAACCACTTTAACACCACAAGAATTCTCATTCTTTACCTGTTGCAGCCACCAATTCCTATGGGTCTCATACTTGACATAAAATAGTACGCAGATATTTCTGACTGGTTAGCACTAGCACATCTCTCAGGCCACTTGGCTGAGTCAGAGATCTAATGTTAAGAGTGCAGTTTGGGTATCTGAGTATGCTTGATAAGGAAGCAGCATTGTGAGGGCTCACAAATACTGCCATGCGAGATATTGGTACCACTGGAACATTTACAATTGAGGAGGGATGTTTTCCTGCTGTGTTAGGATCCCTGACCTACTGATAGAATGCTTTTAATTTTTCTGAAATTGATACTTAGAGAGAAGAACTGGGAAACAAGTAAATTAGTTAACATTTCTGTTGGGTTTAAATGTCTGGCCTTTTGTCTTTATGTAAAAAGTTAATAATGTATTTAGGGAATATTGGGTAAATTAAGTGTGTGTACGTGTGTGTTAAAGTTGAGTTGTTTTGCATTTTGCTTGTGACTATTTGGTTGGCCATTTTTGAGTAGGAATATATAATATAAAATATATTAGGATGTAGACATTAGATACAAATGATTGAGTTTATAATTTATTTTTAGGATCCCTGACATGACTTTTCTAAGACTTTGACCTCTTTAACTGTGTGGAAGGGTCAGTGGATTCATAAGCACCCTCTTTACTAACCATGACTGATGATCTGTAAAGGATTCAGTTAATAGGAACTAAATGTGATAGTGTCAAGTAGGATTAGTAGTGACGCAGACTGGCTGGAGCTACATCCCAGTGTCAAGCATCCTTGGTTTCTTTTGGCACGTCTAGCAGCCTGATTGTTGAATCCTATGTTCCATAAAGTCTTTTGGTTTTGTGGTGGCATCATTTTCTTGATTTTTTACTTTGTTCAGACATTTCTTTGTGTAGTAGAATGTTCCTAGTTTTTAACATGTAGATAAAGGAAAACACAAGGAGACTTAGACTTTTGCTATCTTTACATTTCAGAAAGGATTATCCAATAACTCAGTGCCATTCATGTAATTAATTGGATTTTAATCCTTGCTCTCGGGTCCCTTAATCCAGGCAGCAAAACTAGAAATTTTTAATGTAACATCTTTTAGATTCACTAGGCTTGACTTCTTATAATTCTGTTTGTCATTGAAACACTTATTTAGATTGTAGATACGTACATTTTCTTATTCCTTATCCCTAAGGAAAATACTAAATAGGCTAATACCTTGACATGTCATTAACCCTTAGTTTATATTTCACATAGGAGTCAAGGGAAGAACTCACTTGAGATCTCTGATTTCTTTCACTCTCATCTTTTGGTTTTTAGCATACAGACCCTATACATGTTTTGTTAGATTTATAACTAATTTTTTGGGAGTGACTGCAAGTAATAATAAATTTTGAAAATCAGAGTTTAAGATTGGTCCATATTTACATTTGGTCTATTTACAAAATAATCACATTTTTGAAACAAATGTAAATATGCCTCTACTTATCTTGGTGTTACTAAGAAATATATTAGGAATGTAAAATATAGGTGAAATAGTAACACTTTATTATGATGTACAAATGTTTTAAATTTTAACTGTCAAATTTACTAATATTTTTCTTTTATGGTATATCTTGTGTACATTTTAAAAAATCCTCTCATATCTCAATGATTATAAGTATTTTCCTATATTTCTTTATAAATGTTGTAAAGATTTGCATATCATATATAGATTTTTAATTCTCCTAGAATTAGTTTTTGTGTGTGCTACAAGAATCTTCTTCCCTTCTCTCAATGTGGTAAACAGTTACCTAAAAATGATGATTGAATACTCTCTTCCTTCACAGTATCTTGTCTTTTTAATCTATATATCTGTCCATATGTCTTTATCTCTGTGTCTGTGCCCCCTCTATCTCTCTCTGTCTGTATCATCTCTATCTCTATCTCTGTCCGTGTCTCTGTCTCTATCTCTATCTCTGTCTATCTATCTCTATCCTTCTGTCATCTCTATCTCTGTGTTTGGTACCTAACTTAGTATATGTGTGGTACTATAACAAATACCATAGACTGAGTAATTTATAAAGAGCAGAAATGTATTTTACCACAGTTCCAGAGACTGGGAAACTCAAGTTGCTGGCAGATTTGTTTGTCTGGTGAGAACTTCTGTCTGCTTCCAAGATAGTCTCTTACTGCAGCATCCTCTGGAGGGGGAGAAATGCTTTGCTCCAACCTAGTGGAAGGTAGAAGGGGAAGTGAACTTAAATTTGTATAAAGCCTCTTTCATGAGAGAGGAACTTTTATAGCCTAATTAATTACTCCTTAAAAGACTTACCTTTTAATACCATCACAGTGACAATGCCTGAATTTTGGAGGTGACACATTTAACATAATGGCACCTATCCTGTACATGGGGCTTTATAATATCAGAAAAGACCATTAGAGAATTTAGTGCTAGTCATATCTTTTTAGCAGTGTTATTAGTTTATTCCTACACCATTGCTGTGCTTTCTACGTTTGCTTTCCTTTTTTACCAAAAAGCTTTGCTTGCTTGTAATCCTAGCTATCCGGGAGACTGAAGCAGGAGAACTGCAAGTTTGAGGCCAGCCTAGGCAATTTGGTGAGGCCTTGTCTCAAAAATAAAAGCAAAAGGGCCTGGGAGTATACTTTAAAACTCCCTAGGTTCAATGTCTAGTACTACAAAAACAAAACAAAACAAAGCACTTCAAATTTTATTGATATAAAATAAATTGCACTTTTGAAGCGGACAGTTTTATAAATTTTAATGTTTGTACTGTTAAACCAATACCATAGTCAATGTAGTAAACAGCTATTACTCCTAAGGTTTTCTTGTACTTCTTCGTAATTGTTCCTACCCCTGAACACACATACTTATAAGCCAATCAGCAAAGAGTTTTTCAGAAATTTCAGTTATTTCAGTTTTTCAGTTATGTTCTTCTTACTATATTTGGGGGGAAAATATAATTTTTCACCTAAAGTATTTATAATATAAGTATTTATACTTATAAGTGTTTATAATATAATACTTATAAGTATTTATAATATAATACTTATAAGTATTTATAATAAGTATTTATAATATAATACTTATTAAGTATTATATTTAATACTTAATAAATACTTAAATTTGTATAAAGCCTCTTTCATGAGAGAGGAACTTTTATAGCCTAATTAATCACTCCTTAAAAGACTTACCTTTTAATACCATCACAGTGACAAGTATTTATAATATAATACTTATAAGTATTTATACTTATATAACAGACTTTTTTTGTTGTTGTTGTTGATTTGTTTTTTGAGACAGGGTGTCACTATGTAACTAAGGCTGGCTTTGAAATCACTATGTAGCCCAGGCTGGCCTAAACTCACAGTGATCCTCCTGCCTTAGCCTCCTAAGTGCTGGGATGACATGGTGTGCCACTACGCCCAGCTCTGGATTTACATATTTTAAATTAATAACTACTTAAGAAACTAGTTCTAATTTTAAATATATTCAAATAAAGGTATAGTTCATGTAAACAAATGCTCTTTTGGGCTTTGGTAATTTTGAGAGTGTTAAGGAGCCCTGAGACCAAAGACCCAGAGTTACATACTACATTTTCCAGTGGGTACTGTGAGGAAATATTCAGAGCACTGAGACACTTGAAGATCATCCAGGAACAGAACAGTTGCTCATGGGGGAGCTTCAAGTTTTACTTTCTGTTCCAACCTCAGGTTTTGTTGCTTTGAGATTGGTTCCTTCCTTCTGAGGTCTCATAAAAGCCCAGTCTTCTAGGTCACAGAAATAAGTAAAACAATAAGCAAGACAGGCTTGCTGTAAGATGCAGTCACTCCCAAGTTTATGAGCTTATTAAACTAGTATTTTTGACTGTCAAAAAGAAGAAAGCACTCTTTATGCCTGCTACATCACTTCCTCTAATTTACTTTCATGTTCTCTTTATACTACATTTTCCAGTAGGTTGTAACTTCTGCGAAAGACAGGGATTATTTTTGTTATCTTTGTATCTACAATGACTTGCCCAGTATAAACTTTCTGAAATAACAAATACGACCATGACTTTCTCCTACTTAAAGATCTTCACTGACTCCACTTTGCAAACAGGATAAAATTCAAGCACCTTTCTGGAAATCAAGGCCTTGTAATCTTTGGCTTATCTCTTGCCTTTCTTTGTTTCCTTTAAGCTGAGCAATACTAATTGAAGTTTTATAAACATACTATGCTGTTTCATCTCTGCATATTCTCAAATATTTTCTTTCCTCTTATTGGAATATCTGTGCCTTTCTCCTTGACTTCTGTTTTATTTCTAGTGATTTTTTACTTATTTCATCATTAAAAACCAATTCAGACACTACTTCTTTCAGCAGTCTTTCCTGACTTCTTGGACATACTGTTCAGGAGTATTCTCCACACCTGTCTACCACTTCTGTTCTTTTATGTTGGTATCATTTGGTATATAAGAAACAGTCATAATCTTTGGAGTCATTTCTAGACTTTGAGTTATAGTCATTTTACTTTCTAGTTTTATAATATGATGTAAATTATTTAATTTCTTTGAATCCTAGTTTTATTTATCCTTAAAGCAGGGATAACTCAACCTGTTTATAAGTCTTCATAACATATCTACTCTAAAGGAGCTATGTTCCTTTCTTTTCTATTAATCTTGTATGGAAATCTTAAATTCTCAGGTGGATGCTCTTCGATTGCGTTTAGAAGAGAAAGAAACCATGCTGAATAAAAAGACGAAACAAATTCAGGAGATGGCTGAGGAGAAGGGGACACAAGCTGGAGAGATACATGATCTGAAAGACATGCTGGATGTGAAGGAGCGGAAAGTTAATGTTCTTCAGAAGAAGGTAGGATGCTCTGGTGTTCTGAGCTCTGTGGCCCATTTTTTTTTTTTTTTTTAAATTTTAAAGATAAAAGAACGAAAACATATTAACAAACACACATTTACAAAATAACACAAAACAATACAAGCAACACAGAATTTCAGACAAGGTGATAGGAAATTAACAGTGGTTGTCTGTGGCCCATTTCTGACATGCCTCCTCATTTTTGCCACCAAAATTACATTAAATGCTATCACAATTAGTTTCTCATTCCCGTTTATGTTTTCACAATGAGTAATTGGAACTGTTTCCAAAAGGTAGGTTGTTAAAACTGTTCTGCATATCCAGTGTTTAAAATTTTACAGTAACCACTGTATCTTTCAGTAATATTTCTTGTGCTATTTCTGAAGATTATTAGTTTGACCTGCTATTCCTCTGTCTTTTATTGGAACTGCAGTGAATTAGTATATAGTGTATGGATCATCTATGTGATGAATAAGTTGACAGCTTTGAATAGAAAAACATCATCATCAAAGAATAAATGATAATAGATAAATAGAAAATAGAAAAACAACATCAATAGAAAAACAACATCATCACTGCTATAATTAACGTACAGTGTACATGTATTAAGGAAAAAAATTTTTCCCTTTTTACCATAGTCAGTTTTGGAAAGAGGCTAACTCAGAATAAGTAAGAAAACAACTAGTACTTGTCCCTGTTTTCGCTTAATAAAAGGGTGCCCTGCAGATAGCATTTATAAGAATGCTGTTATTGTTCATCTGTGTTGAGGTGATAGATTAGAAATATTTAATATTATCCCAGTTTATTTTCAACTTGTCACAATAGCCAGAGAATAAGTAATTTTCTTTGATGAACTTCAAATTCACCTTTCATATCCAGAAGATCATGCCCTGTATTTGCCTGTTAATTTGGGTTTTTATTTGTTTCTGCAAATAATTTTAAGAATTGATCACTTTCAATTTTTGTTTTGTTTTGTTTTGTTTTTTGTTTTTCTTCCGGTACTGGGAATTGAACTCATGACCTTGTGCTTGCCAGGCAGGTGCTGTGCCGCTGAGCTACATCCCCAGCCCCCCACTTTCAATATTGACTGACCATATCTTGTTAATGGATGCTAATTTATTGTTTGAAATTTTTAGAGATACTTATATCTTTCATTCATTCCCTACAACTGTTCACTTCCCTTTACCTTTTTCTTATGTAGTCTTTCACAAAGAGTCTACAGATATACAAATAAAAATTTATTCTTCATTCTGTTTATCTCTTTTCCTGTATTCTTCCAGATATATGCACAGTCTGTATACAGGCAAAAATGTGTGTGTGTGTGTGTGTACTTTAGCACTTATCTTGCCATTCTCTACTGGTTGTTCCTTTCCCTTTTTTTTTTTTAAAGCTATTTTGGAACTTCTTCCAAGGATTTCCTCATTTTTATTATTGATAGCATTGTACAGATGTACAATGTACAGTTTATTTTTCAAAGTTTCTAGTAGTTGACATGTATTTTGCTCAATTTTCTGCTTTTACCTAAAATAATGCTGCAATAAAATGGCTGTGTATATGTTTATATATATCTATATCTATATATATGAAATATATTTATAGGATTAACTCGAAGAACTAAAACTGTTCGGTGAAAGGGTATATGCTTATACTTTTGATGAATTTCTGCAGTGACCTTAAAGAAATTGCACCACCTTCTCCTACCATCAATGTATGAAAGTACCATTTACCTTACTCCATATCTATAAAATGTGTTGTCCAACTTTTTGCCAGTTTGGTAGATGAGAAAATCTATCAGCATTGTTATAGTTCTTTAGTTACAAGTAAAGTTCAACATATTTAAATGTAATTCAGATTGTTTATATTTCTTTTCTATAAATTATTAATATATTTTCTGTAAATTGTTACTTTTTATTGATTTGTAGAAGTTCTAATTTAATAATTAGCTCATTTAGTCTGCTGTGAATTCCAAATATTTTTTCATGGCTGGCTTTTGACACATTTGTGTGTGTGCATGTGCTCACATGTGAGTATGTATGCATATATGCATTCATGTATGTGTAGTAGGCATTCAGATTTTTAAAATATTTATAAAGTGAATATTTTAAGGCTTCTGGATATTTGGATATACTTCTAAAGTTCTATTTTAGAATTTTCCTTCTATGGATATGTCTTTATATCTGGTATCTCTGTTTTAATTTTTGGTCTTTAGAACATGCAATTAAAACTAATTCCTTACATGTTACTTTTAACCCCCAGTAATGTGGTAGCTGTTTTTGTTTCCCTAGTTTTTTCTACATGAAATTTAAGAGTTTACATTTCATCCTCCCACTCTCAATTCTGTCTTGTTTTGCATTGGGATTGCATCAGATTTATAGAATATAGTGTTATATTTTTCATTATCTCTTCCAACTGCAAGTTTTTTGTATATATGAAAACTTATGATTTCTGTAATATTTTGTGTTTAGTGCTACCATACTGAATTCTTTCAAGGTTTTTTCCAGTTGATTCTTTTGGCCTCTCTGTATACAATTTTATCAATTTCAAATAATACCTTGAATTTAATGTTTGTACCTCATTTTATTTATCTTTTCTTCTTGCGTTTACCTTTACATCTGAAACCATACTAAGTAATTACAGCAGTAGCAGACATATTAGTCTTATCCTTGATTTGAATGAGAATGTTTTTAGTTTTCTCTTGGTGAAGTATGATACTTGCTTTTAGGTTTGGTCTGTCTGTCTGTCTGTCTATGTATCTATCTATCATGTTAAGGAAACCAAGTAAATAAATTAAATGATTTTTTTAAAAATCAAGGATGGCTATGGTATTTTAATGGATGTCAAGTTCTTTTATTGTACTGGTCATTAATTGGTTCCGTGAGGCAGGAGAAATACCAAAAATGAGTATCTACCAAATTGTTTTGTCTGGGAAGTGTAGCAACACCGACAAGGCAGTTGATGCCAAAAAATTCTAACTTGTGTGTCCAGTACCAAGTGAATGACAAGCAGAAACAATTTTGACATCAAAATGGTGTCCAGTACCAAGCTGAATGAGTTTCAAAGCTGTTGAGTACCAAAGTATGGCTATATTATATTTGGAAAATATATGTATTTAACTTTTAAATTCTAGGTAAGTATTTCTTTTAAAGAACTAACAAATGGCAATGTGTTGTTTAGAAAACTAACTAGTTTTTAGAAGTATCCAAGTATACAAAGTGAGATTCAATCTCCATTTTCAATCCTTTGACTATCTCAGTATACTGTTAGAGTTGTTAACTATTATTAGTTCTTTGTGCCTCTTTTCATAAAGCTTTAGTGTATGTGCAAGCATACACGCTGTATACTGTACACCTTTTTTGAAGAATTGGAATCATAATTTTGATTTATTTAAAAATAAATATTTTAATATCTTGTTATATAGCTTTATTTCATTTGAAAAATGTCTGCATGTTTGCTTTGTCATACTTGCATTGTGGTTTAATTAATTAATACCATACAGTTTTGCATGTAGATGTTTGTAAGATTTTTTCTTGTTTATTTTTTATAAAGATATAGCACATTATGATATAAATACATCTAATTTATAATTTCATATTGTGTGCATCTAAATAATTGATAGATACTGAATTATCCTACAAAAATCTTATACTTGTTTATTATACTCTTTTTGCATAGCTTCATTAATTTGTTGTCAACCCTTTTAAAATTATTACTTTCTTGCTAGATAATTTAAAATACCTATATTCTTGCTTACTAGTTAAAGTTGAATTTATAGTGAATATCTTTTCATTCAGTTTTTCTTTCTTTGGGGAGCTACATATTCATTATATTCTCCCACATTTTTCCATTAGATGATATTTTTTCCTTGCTGATTTTTAGGAATTCTTTCTCATGTAAGTAAATTGCTATACATATCCATCTATATACTTATCTATCTATCTACAGATATATATCCATATATCTGTGTCTACATCTGTCTATCAATCATATTTTTCTTTTTTTTACTTTACAGTATTTATTTTGAAGCTTGTATGGCCAACTTTAGTAGTCCTTTTCTTTATTTATCCTCAATTTTACATCCTATTCAGAAAGTACTTAAGCATCCCAGGGTTATTAAAATTATATTTACATACTTTCTCATGGTGATTTTTTTTTTTTTCCACTACTGAAATGACAGCCCAGGGCCTTATACATGCTAGGCAGCTGCTCTACCACTGAGATATATATCCCAGCTCTCTTCTACTTCTCTTTTCTTTTCTTTTCTTTTTTTTTTTTTTTTTGGTTTTTCTCCAGTACCGGGAACCGGACTCACGACCTTGCGCTTGCCAGGCAGGCGCTTTGCTGCTGAGCTAAATCCCCAGCCCCTCTCTTCTACTTTTAAAGTTTCTTGTTTCTTTACAACTAAAAATTGGCTTATAAAATTTATATATTGCCATGATTTATGTTTTTACTTTTTGCCAGCCAGTTGTTACTATAATATTATTTAAAATGTACCTTTTATCTTCAAATTGAGATGCCCAATTAAATTATTGTATCATCTTTGGTCTGTTTCTGGATTCTGGTCTGTTCCATTCATCTGTGTCTGTGTCTGTGACAAGATCAAGGGGCTTCAACTGTTATAGTTTCATATATATTTTCACAATTAAGAGATTGTCCTCCTATATTAATGTTCTTTTTGGAAGAACTTGTGATGTTTCTCACTTGTTTTGTTTTCCCGATGAACTTTAGTATCATTTTGTTAAATTCCCCTCTTTGAAAAAATAATTTTATCATTATTTTATTGGATGTAATATGTCAGAATCAAATGAAGAAAGTGTTTCTGTATAAAGGGAATGATCAGCTTGGAAATCATTGCCTATGAATTAGGTAAAATGAGTATTGAGAATTGACCATTGAAGAGAGAAAAGTGATAGTTATTAGTAACTTTGATTACAAAGTTTCATGGAATGGGAAAAAGACATTGTTTGTGCCTACTTTTCCTGTAATTGTCTGTTATTTAAAGC